TATATGTGAAAGCATAGAGTCAAAGGAAGTAAAAATCTTCAATGAACCAAACTGTACCATAGAATCTCTAGGGATAGTAATTCCATGCCTGAATAATAAGAATACAGCAGTAGGAATATACTACAGACCAGTTGACCAGGATGGTGATAGTGACTGTGAAAAGCTCAGGGAGATTAGGCTATAAAAATAAAAAAACTCATTAATAATGAGGGATTTCAGCTATCCCCATATTGACTGGGTACGTGTCACCTCAGCATAGGATGCAGAGATAAAATGTCTTGACACCTTAAATCATAGAATCATAGAACTGAAAGAGACCTCGAGAGGTCATCTAGTCCAGTCCCCTGCGCTCAAGGCAGGACTAAGTATTATCTAGACCATCCCTGACAGGTGTTTGTCCAACCTGCTCTTAAAAATCCCCAATGATGGAGATTCCACAACCTCCCTAGGCAATTTATTCCAGAGCTTAACCACTCTGACAGTTAGGAAGTTTTTCCTAATGTCCAACCTAAACCTCCCTTGCTGCAATTTAAGCCCATTGCTTCTTGTCATATCCTCAGAGGTTAAGAAGAACAATTTTTCTCCCTCCTCCTTGTAACAACCTTTTATGTACTTGAAAATTGTTATCATGTCCCCTCTCAGTCTTCTCTTCTCCAAACTAAACAAATCCAATTTGTTCAATCTTCCCTCATAGCTCATGTTTTCTAGACCTTTAATCATTTTTGTTGCTCTTCTCTGGACTTTCTCCAATTTGTCCACATCGTTCCTGAAATGTGGCGCCCAGAACTGGACACAATACTTTAGTTGAGGCCTAATCAGCGCGGAGTAGAGCGGAAGAATTACTTCTTGTGTCTTGCTTACAACACTCCTGCTTAATACATCCCAGAATGATGTTCGCTTTTTTTGCAACAGCGTTACACTGTTGACTCATATTTAGCTTGTGATACACTATGACCCCCAGATCCCTTTCCGCAGTACTCCTTCCTAGGCAGTCATTTCCCATTTTGTATGTGTGCGACTGATTGTTCCTTCCTAAGTGGAGTACTTTGCATTTGTCCTTATTGAATCTCATCCTATTTACTTCAGACCATTTCTCCAGTTTGTCCTGATCATTTTGAATTTTAATCCTAACCTCCAAAGCACTTGCAGCCCCTCCCACCTTGGTATCATCCGCAAACTTTATAAGTGTACTCTCTATGCCATTATCTAAATCATTGATGAAGATATTGAACAGAACCGGATCCAGAACCGATCCCTGCGGGACCCCACTCATTCTGCCCTTCCAGCATGACTGTGAACCACCAATAACTACTCTCTGGAAACAATTTTCCAACCAGTTATGCACCCACCTTGTAGTAGCTCCATCTAGGTTGTATTTCCCTAGTTTGTTAATGACGGCTTTATGGAGAAGCTAGTCCTGGAAATCACAAGGGGAGAGGCAATTCTTGATTTAGTCCCAAGTGGAGCACAGGATCTGGTCCAAGAAGTGAATATAACTGAACCATTTGGTAATAGTGACCATAACATAATAAAATGTAACACCCAGGGGGCAGGGGGAGCCACTCCAAAGCAGCCCACCATGGTAGCATTTCATTTCAGAAAGGAGAACTACAGAAAAATGAGGAAGTTAGTTAAACGGAAATTAAAAGGTACAGCGCCAAAACTGAAATCCCTGTAAGCTGCATGGAAACTTTTTAAAGACATCATAATAGAGGTTCAATTTAAATGTATACCCCCAAATTAAAAATCATAGTAACAGGACCAAAAAAATGCCACCCTGGCTAAACAACAGAGTAAAAGAGGTGGTTAGAGGCAAAAAGGCATCCTTTAAACAATTGGAAGTGAAATCCTACGGAGGAAAATAGAAAGGGGCATAAACTCTGGCAAGTCAAGTGTGAAAGTATAATTAGGCCGACCAAAAAAAGAATTTAAAGAGCAGCTAGCAAAAGAAACAACAACTAAC